AATCTTTCCAGGTGTTTTCTCAGGCTCTGCTTTTCCTCAACAGTCTGACAGTGGAGAGAGCAAATTCCCTACAGGATCCCAGACAAACAAAGCAGCTTCTTGATTCTTTGGAGACCCTGAGGAGGTGCATCTCCATGCTGCACACAGCCATGTGCACAACCATCAAACACCCTACAAGCGAGCAGGCACAGGCAGCCAAGAGATACATTCTGGACAAGGTGCAGAGCACTGTAAGTGACATTATTATAATACTGAAAAGTGAATGCCACAGTGCATCACTGGGTCCTTGTGGATATTACACATGGAGGAGGAACAGTCTGCTTCAACTGCTAACCAGCTCCTCCACCTCCTCAATCCGAGACAGCGGCTTTGACAGTGTGGTAAGAGATCTTGTGTTTCACTGTATGGTTGTGGCAAACTCTTCACGTAAAGAATTTCAGCAAAGAGTGGTGAGTCATTGTCGTCACATCCTGCAGTTCTGGTCAGACATAAAAAGGATTTTAAAGTCCTCAGAGGATCCTGATGATACTGAGCAGACTCTTGAGAAGACCTGCACTTTGTTGGTCCAGCAAATACAAACGCTTGATAAAGCTTTGATGACTACTGTTTTTTATCAAGTCTTGGACACATTTTTAACAGCATCTTCTACAGTTGACGAACTTTTGAGTGTCATGAGACAGATCCTGGTTGCGCCTTCTTCTACAAAGATGGATCTGAACTTTATTCAGCCCCTAGTTGAGGATTTCATATCTTCCACTGATGAAATAATCCAAGTTGCAAGTTTTATCTCAGCTGTGGCTGTTGATGCAAAGAGTTTGGAGAACGTGGAGAACTCACGAGCATGCCTTACAAGACTCAGAGCTCGAATTGCACCTCTTTCACTGGAGCTGGCGGATGATTCAATGCAAACTGTTCAAAAGCTTCATGAGGTGTGTCAAAAATGGCAGGAAGAGACTGGTCAGCTTCAGGATGCTCTCAATGATGTAATGGATGTGAGGGAGTTCACCAGTATTGCAATTAATGAGATGGTCAATGACCGGCATGGATGTGACGCAGCGTACAGAGAGCAAAGCTATAGATTGTTTAATGAACATGCAACAAACCTCATGTGTCACATGAAGCTGGTGATTCAGTCAGTGAGGAGGCACTTGGACAGAAGTGATAACCCCATCTACAGGAATGGCCTCCTGGTCCTGCTGAAACAGGTTCAGTCATCTCAAACCAAAGTGTGTGAGTCAGTCAGAGACATGCTTTTAGGTTCCAGTTTAAATGTGGAGGTATACACTACTTTTTCAAATAATGTTTCCATGGCTATTCAGCATTTTAAAGTGTTAAGACAGGGACTGGATGGCCAACAGCATCCACATCTCCTTAGCCCGCTTCGAGAGGGGGCACGTCAGCCTGAAATCGACACCTGTGAACTGAAACTGGATCATGTGAGAAGAGGCTCTGATTCTCCTGTTTTTGAAGTTATGGAGAGGGATTCCCAAATCGAACATGAGGAGGAGCACTCAGATGAGGAAACCATAGAAGTAGAACTGGCTCGTAAATATGACAGCGCTGATTTAAAGATCCCAGCTGTCTCCGATGAACGCAGACTGATCCACAAGCCTCTTGAATTTGACCTATTACCCCTCTTGTATGAAGTTGTGACTGTGACTAAAGGGAAAGATGTGACAGCTCTCAACCAGGCCTGCACTGGTGTTCTTGAGCTGTCAAACTGTTATGCTCAAGCTGCAAAGGAAGCCTTGGCCATTGCTGATGCGGTTGATCGTCAGACGTTGGAAAGTTTCAGAGCAGAGCTGGTGTCACTGACTCCGCTGCTCGTCCAGACAGCTCAAGAGACGGCAATGAGCTCAGGGAGGAGCACAGAGAGCCTCTACAAGCACAGCACACAGTTTTCTGACCTGATTAACAACACCAGAAAGGTTTTACTGCCGGTGGCTGGAACCTGGTATGCTGTTTACACTGAGCTGCAAGCAAATCTGCCAACAATGGCAGCCACTGCTATGCAGCAACTAAATGAAGTGATGATTTTGTGTGCTGACATGGTCCAGCTCTTGACATCGTCTGATTTAACCTCACAAAGTGACGGTCAAGAAACATTCAGCGTTTTACATAACAAGCTGAACAAAGCCCAGAACAACACAAGGTGTCTGGTAGAGTTTTCTGTCTCATTTAAAGGAGAGGTAGACCAACTAGAGGGACTCTGTATCCTCTGGGGCCTTTCTATTCAGATTTTGCTCAATTCTTTTGATAAGATTTTGGGAACATCAACTGCAGTGAACCAGTTGGCCCCTCAGAAACAGCTATCAGTGTTGTCTGAGAACTCGCTTCGAATCCAGGAGGCAGCTAGGCTAACCAGCTTAAACTGTAAAAGTCCTTACAAATCAAAACAGTTAACAGGACACCAGGATGAACTGAAAACACTGACTGAAGCCTATCTTAAAGCTGCCGAAAAGCTTGACATAATGCCAAGTGTGATGCAACTTGCAAAGTCGGAATTCTTTCTGAGACGTCTTTTGATTAAAATGAGAGTGCTCTCTGGTCATTTAAGCAAAGCAAACAAGGATTATGACACTGCACTTCAAAATATTGTGAACATTGCCTATTTTGCTGCGGAGCACTTTAGGGAGAACAACACAGAAGATTCAGAGCAGAAATTTGAAAACGCAGTAGAAACACTTTTTGAAAATGTAAAACTTGCAACCAAACGAGTCGAGGACTCCTTAAACTACATCCGCGACCCACGCGCTCGTTCTAATCTGAGGTCCATCAACGATCACCTGTCTTTTCAGATCTCAGACATAATTAGCAGGGCGAGGCTCATGGTAGAGACTCACTACATTTGTGACACGCTCAGTCTGGATGTTCAGATCCAGTGCTGGTCAGCCAAAGCTCACTATGTGGTGGAGGAGATCAGAAAGCAAGATGGGATTCACCAAGAGGCTAAAGAGCTCATCGGGGCTGGTCTGCAGGGCCGAACACCAGACAATATCAAAGAAGTGTTGGCGACAATCCCATCTAAAGTAAAAGGAGTAGAATTTCCCTCCGACACAACAACAACATCCTGGCAGAGAGGCAATACAGAAAGTGTAGATGCTGTAGAGCCGAATATGAACATGGCAAGCGTTGCCAAATATGGATCTGGACATATGGAAAAACATGTAGGTATCTCATGATTAACAATTTTCCAGTTCAGTTCCTTTTTGTTAAAATAAATCATGTCCTTATTTTTTCTCTATAGGACGGTTTCGGGTCTGATGCATTCAAAGAATCTTCTTCACTGACCTACACCTCCATCTTTCTTAAGCAAGAAAGTGACAGCTGGGATCCCAAGGACAACAGAATTGTCCAGGTGACCAGGAAGATGGCTGACACAATATGTTACATGACCCAGTACTTGAAGAAGAAAGGCCCAATACCAGTAAGGACCACCAGAGGGCACTTTTCTGCCTTGATCTTGATATTTGCAGGCACTCTTATCCACAATCGTTTCTTTTCTCTTCCAGAATAAAGAGGCATTTGTTTCTGCAGCCAAGGATGTGATCTCAAACTGCCAGTCAGTAACTCAGTTTATCAGAGTTATTACCAACCACTGCCTGGATAAACAGTGTACGGTTGAACTGTCCCTCATAGTGGAGCAGATTCTGACCATCACCAACCAGCTCAGCATCATCTCCAGGTCACAAAGAGTTTGGGGATAATTCATGTGTTGAAACTAAGCCAGGAAAAAAAAGAAAATTAATGAAACAGTTTTTCTTTTCTTTATCTTTACTTAGTGTCAATGCTGTAACACCTGGGTGCAAATCATCTGATGAGATCTTGGTGAAGAACGCACAAAATCTACTCCAGACGGTCCTGCGTGGGGTCCACGCTGCAGAGACAGCCTGCATGACAGTAAATCTAACATTAAAAGAACCCCTAACAAATTTGTAATATGAGGTTCTTCCTGTTCTATAGATAGATAAGATACAGCTCAAAGTATCTGTTATGTGATGTCCTGTGATTTGTCTCCTGAGTCGTTAAAACTGTCCAATTACTCATATTCCAGGGTTTGAAGCAGCCAGAGCCAAACTCAGACGGTGCAGAGGCTACAGCCTTGTGTTTCCAGTGGAGGAGGAAGCTGGAGATCCATCGAGCCCAGCAGACCTCTAACCCAGAGACTGATGATCTGGGTTTGAGGAAGACCTCATCCCACCCTGTAGCACCTAGTCTTGCTCCGCCAGTGAATGTGACCACTACCCCTTCAAAACTCAAGTAGTATTTGTGTCTCAAGAAATAAGAAGCCCAACACAGATCACGTTCTTTCTTACTATTTGATATAAAGACGTGAAACCCTTTTCACCCTTAAAGGCGACTGACATGCTCAAGGACACTTCAGCAAGGTAGATGTTATAAAATATTTTGTATTGAAAATGAGATTTGATATAGTCAGTGGTGGAAGAAGTATTCAGACTCTGTACTATATACTCTATTGCAAGTAAAAGTGCTGCATTTAAAGTCTTGATTAAGTAAGAATACATTAGTATCACTAGCTAAATGTACTTAATTTATCAAAAATAAAAGTTTTCAGTCTGCAGAAAAATGGCATTTAGCTGGCCTTTTACTACATAGTACATATTTGATAGTTAATATTGATCAATGTGTAAGCAGCATTTTGCTATTGTAGCTGCTTGAGGTGGGGGTAGTTTTAACTACTTTACATATAGTTAGGAAGTCAGTGTCTCCCAACCTAGGGCTCAGGCCCCTTTACAGCAGAAATCTGAGGGGTTGTGAGATTTTTGATACAAAACTCTGTGGTAATTTTTTTGACTTTTCACTTGATCTTTGTATCTAAATAGAAATACTCAAGTAAAGTACAAGTACCCTAAAATTGTACTTCAGTATCATACTAACTACTAAATGTACTTAGTTACTTTCCACCACTGGATGTAACACTGGACCTGTTGCTAAATGTTTGGACATTAAAATGAGACATTGCAATGTGTGATTCTGAAATAATATACTGTATGTTTGATCTCTTTATTTCAGATATTCATAATAAAATCACTGAAATGTGATGGGCATATGTGTTGTTAAAATGTCATACAGTATTATTACAACCATATTCACCAAACTGACAGGAAAAATTCAGTAAAACACTCAAAAACAGACTGTACATGTGATACAAAATAGGCATTTACAATGTGACTTATGAAAACAATAAAAAAAGGACACACAGCTTAACTTTCAGTCAAACAAGGATAGCTCACCTCAAAAGACACAGAACTGTCAAATAATACAAACTGCCTAGCATTATGCCATCTTAAGCCTACAACATTCACTCCTTGTACCACACATAACCCCATGTGAGTTCATCTACAGTCAACTCGAAAAACAAAATCAACACGAAACATAGTCATAAAGCTCGTATCTGTATCATATATATCTGCATCTTTCTTTCTATAGCACATTCTATTTCTTTCTTTCTTCATTTGTTATTCTGATGAAAACAACTTATTTACAAGCTTGTCAGCAGTGAGAGTTTTGAACAATGACAAATCAAATCAAATAACCAATATTAATTTACTCCACTAACTGTCATTAATAACTGGTTAGCAAGTCAGAAACGCCTACAACACATAGGCCACTTAAAATGAAAAAAAGTCAATTTACAAAACAGAAATTGAACGGCTGCAATTTTACAAAAACCACACCGCATTTCTTCTCAGGTGAGCGGGGAACTTCTCATACGTATTGCACAACCATTTCTGCAAGCAAGCTTAATTGTAGAGAAATTTAACACAAGGCTGTAAAAGGAAACAGCAATCAGTCACTGCTACATACATTTTAGCCCGTTCCTAATAAATGGGGAATGAATGATGAACAAACTTCTGGATCTCAATATCAGGGATTCTTTTACGATTATGTGACCTGATCGTGTCAGAGGACAAAATCACAAACTCATATCAGGGTGTGTGGTAGGAAAAAAAACAGTAAATCTGTTGACTTATTGTGAAAAAAATCCCTCATAAAAGTGAGCATAAACATAAAAATCTCATAATATAAAAGTGTCTTGAAATAAATAAGTAAATACAAAAAATCTCAAGGGGGTTCATTTGATCAATCACTTAGCATTTTGTCTCTGGATACGGAGTGAATGAATGATCTATTCTACAGAGTCAAGACAATATGGGTCAGTCCTTCGTGAAAACTATACAAATTAACATAATTCCTTGTTTTCTGATTGTTTAAAACGAACATGGAAATCACACAATGATAAAAGACCTTGACACACTTTCAAAATACATACTTTAGCATTAATACGATTATGTTAAAAGGACCTATGCGCTGTGTGTGTGTGTGTCTGTGCACATATCGAGCATCATGTCCATACTGACAAATGTGTGGTGCACCAGATAGTATGTGATTCTATACAGGAACATTTATGTACAGAAATAAATAGATTCATGTAAAGCTAAATAAAAATGAATAGTGTTTACTGACAGAAGGGGGAAGCAGTGGGGTCAAAAGTCTTGAACACGTCTTTAAGTGTCCTGTCATCTACGTCCTCCTCTGGATTGTCCTGTTTTGGTTCTTCCTCCATGGCCTCCTCTTGCTCCTGCTCCTGCTCCTTGTCCTTCTCCTTCTTTTCCTCCGCCTCTTCTTGTGCTCCTGTAGAGCCCTGTCCTCCTAGCTTAGCCTGCCTGGGGTCAGTGTACTGTGGTCGGATCAACCCGGCCAGCGCCTGGATGGGCAGATTATGAACTGCGGGGGGTTTCACAGGTGAGGCAGGAGGCACTATGGGGGAACTGGAAGGTGGAGGCTGATCTGAGGCAACTTCTGTGCTTTTGGCCTCTTCAGAAGAGCCACTTCGTTGGGTTGGTGAGAGTGACAGTGGTGGAGTATTGTCTTTCTTATCTGGGTGTTTCAAAATGCCCGTCTTTTTAGCAGGCTCTGCTTGCTCCTTCTGAGCCTGCTCGGTTTGGTTACGAGGATCGTACAGACTGATGCCCCCGAGGATTGTGGTGGGACTCTCTAACCCTCCACCAGAGGACGCCAGACGGGGGGCATACGGTGGCAGCTTCTCAGGCTCCGGCTTGGCTCGAGCAGTATGAGGAGAGGAGCTAGCACTGGCCTTCTGTAGCCTTGGGTCCACAACACCTCCCCCAGCGGAGGGCTCTTTCTGACCCAGCAGCTTGGAGTCCAGGCTTCCTGTACGCTTGAGTCTGGGGTCCAAGGTCTTCTGCTGACGTGGATCTGCAGGTCTCTCTGCGGAGGATCGAGACTCTAGAGATCCAGAGGACAATCGACTCATACGTTCCTTCAAACGTGCAGCTGCCAGTCTGGGGTCAGTCAGCGGAGGGCTGGAGACGGGGGGATGGTCAGGTATGCTTGTTCGGTTCATCTGAGCATCTGCAATTAGGGGTGGAAGGGGCAGGTTGATGGAGTGTTCCTGCTTGGGCACCAGGGAAGGGATGAGGTCCTCAGGGGCCCACACCACCGTCGAAGCGAAGGTTGGCCGCTGGAGCAGGATGTCCACCCGGATGTGGCTAAACTGCTTTAACTGGCAACGAGGGTCCCGCAGGACCACGCCGGGGCTGGCATCTAGAGGGATGAGAACAGCTTTGTCCCTGAGCTCCCTCTCTCCTTCCTCATCGTCATCTCCTGCAGGAGGCTTCTGAGGAGCAGGGTGACTCTGCTGGCGATAGGAACTTGGCTCCATTGGTCTCAACTTCCTGGGGTCTCTGGAGAGCCGTGGGTCTGCAGCTCCATCCAACTCCTTTTTCACATCTGGTGGTCGCTGTCGAGGGTCTGTCTTCACACGGGGGTCACTGGGTGGGGCCCTCTCCTTCACAAGGCGAGGGTCACCCAGCGCTGGCGCCGCCGCGGCAGCCTGGGGGGGCTTGGACTGAGACTGCTGCATCTCGCTCTGCTTCTTTAGAGATTTGAGGATGGAGGAAACACAGCTCCCATCCTCCTCGTCGCTTGAGTACCAGTTTGTAGTTTCATCTGTGGAGAAAGATTAAATCAGATTAAAGTGTTTGTTTATAAATTATCTGTGTATCAACACCCTGTCACATCTGTGGCTTGTTTCCAAAACCAGGTTTACTAAGGTATAATAATTTCATTTTGTAAAACAGGTCTTTTTACTTCAGTCTGTGCTCCATTTCTGAAGAGTTTACTTTATCTTAATTACCAGTAATTTAGCAATCCTGCTCCTGGCCCCTGGGACTTACCTCTGTTTGAATTATCATCCTGGCCCTCTGCTCGCTGTGGCTCATTCCCCTGTGGATGTGACTCTTGTTGTTGCGTCAGGTGTAAAAAGATGGCTTTCTGTACTGCTGGTGGTAAAGACTGCAACTGTGACTCTGCACCCATCTGCTGCTGTATGAAGGCCACACTAGGGTCTACCACGTTGAAAATAAAACACAATTTTGCAATTTCAGTGACAGTTAAAAAGGTAATTAAAATATTGTATAACCATATGAATATAATACTGACCTCCTTGTTGACCCATGGCCTGGTTTCGGAGGAAGTTACTGAAGAACTCGACTGGGTTCTGACCCAATGATGGAAAAGGAAAGAGGCTTTGCAGCATCTGCATGTCTGGTATTGGAGGGAACGGAGGCCTCTGCATATTCATCGGAGGGTTTCCATGGAAGGGTGGGGGTTGACCAGGGGGGATTGGTGGTGGCATTGGAAATCCGTGTGGTGGGTGTTGTCCTGGTGGGCTCTGTGGCATGGGTGGCCCAGTGGGGTGGCCCACAGGAACAGGTGATTCAGGGGGAGGAACAGCAGGAGCAGAGGGGCCTGAAGGCACCATACCTCCGCTCTGTGTCTCCTCCGAACCTCCACCTTCACCTTGATTCTGGGAGAAGTTGGATCCACTGGAAAAATAATGTGCACAATTAGGTTTAGGACGAGCTCCAAATGTTCTTTACAGTTTTGAGTTTGATTACACATTACTTTGGTTACCTCAGACCAATTTTGTGTGCCAAGTCTACAGTAGGTTGAACCTTGATTTCAAACAGGGAGGGGATCTTCTTCCCCGCTTGGCCAGAGGCTCCATCTGTAGGACTGCTCTGACCAGGAGTGGGCAGCAACCCCACCCCAGGAGGAGGCTTCGGAAGGGGGGCGATTCCCTGCTTTCTCAGATCCTCCAGCTCCAACTCGTCCTCACGTGCGTTCTCCTCTTCAGTGTTAATTATCTTGTAAATGAGTCAGAAAACATAAATAGGACAGTTGTTACCCATTAGATCTGAGACTTTCTTAGCAAAGAGGTGTTCAAAATCAAAAACACTTCTTCCTTTTTGTCTTACCTTATCAAGCAACTCTTTGGTGACGTCAGTCAAAGCTTCGTGGGAGAATTTGCAGTTGTCCCCTTGATAACATTTGGCTCCAGTATGAAAGAACTTGCACGGGTATTCATGTACAGTCACAGGTTAAGGAACAGGGTTAATTAAATGGTATAATGAGATTTCAGTTAATTACTGTATGTGGTGCCTATTACACAAATGTGATTAACAACACTTGTCGTCAATGGTGAAGGATATTGTGCATGTAAATGCAATTATCTCCTTTACTGCAGTATCCTTGGAGGTAAAATTTGCAAAGCTCCTTTTTCTTATCCGGTACTACGAGCTCATGTTCAAACTTGCACTGCTCCCCCTGCATGAAGAGAAAATAATTTTAAGGTAGGAAAGTGATTTCCTTTTTCAAATATTTCAGCAATAGCAATAGGCAACAAGCAAAAGAGTGCTACTATACCTTGATGCATCGACCCTCCAGGAAATACTTGCAGATGTATCTACCATTGTGTTCAACTGTGTGCTGATTGATAAACTCCTTGCTCATAATTGGCCGTTTCTTCTGAAAACCGGAAGAATTTTTTCCTTCCTGTGACACAAAATTAGCTAATTTGTTAATCTACAGTACAATCTGTACAGTACAAAGCACAACAACGCAGTTAAAAGCTGAAACACAGCAAAAAGTTGAAGAATGACCCTGTTTCTTATTCTAATGCTTCATTGTGGATCCCCATAAATATCTTTAAAACGCTTATCACATTTTAACAGTTGGTCAGTCTTCTAAAAATACATATTAGTGTACATTGTGTTGCATATAAACACTATTTTAGCTTGATTCACTATGACTAATATAATACTAATGTCATAAATAGGGTACAGAGGGTCAGCCATTAATTGTAAAATTGGGTGTTGGATCCCTTCCTCCTCCTCTGTCCATATGTGGAGGTGTTCCTGAGACACTGGCAGGCCAGCGCCTTGCATGGCAGCTCTAAGTTGTAGTACACTGTCCGTTAAGTGCTATATAATGCAGTAATATATAGTGCTTCATTTTCAGGGGCATACTTACCGGTGCCATGTCTTCCATGCCCTGGTCTCCTCCTCGACCTCGTCCACGTCCTCCCCAGGGTTTGCCCTTCAGCTTCTTGTTCTTGTTGAGCATCCCGCGTCCTCTTCCTGGTCCGCTCCCTCGGCCCCTCCCCCTCTGCCCAACTGAAAATGACATTATGGAAGAAGTGAACAAACGCCGCTTACTTTGTTGACTCTCGCACCTATCGCATAAAACAGAATTCATAGTAAACATATATAAGTTACTACAGGAATGAAAAGCATTCATACACTGCTGTGGTTTCATCCCCCTCATGTTTCCTCTCTTCATCTGGTCTTTAGCATGGCGCCCCTTTCCCTGACTCTGGGAAGATGAATCTTTTGACTGTGGATACTCGGACATGTCATCTTCATAATCATCCTCCTCTTCCTCGTAGTCATACTTGTCATCACTGTAGTCGCTGTATTTGTCAAAATCACTGCTCTTGTGTGGCGGGGACTTGCCGTGGCCTCCCTTTGAGTCCCGTCCGTGCTGGCAGATCAACAGTCAGAGAGGAAAACTGTCACACACTAATGCTTATATGGAATATTTAAGAGTCAGCGTGCCAGCGGTGGCGGACTCACCTGAGAGGACTGGCCATCGGACTCGCGGCTAGATCCCTGGCTCTTCCGGTTTTTGGGCCTTTCTAGTCGGTCGTAGTCAGAGTCGTAACTGTCAGAGCTGGAGCTGCTGGAGGGGGAGTGGTGCTGATGAGATGAGAGGGAACAAAGGAAGAACAAAACATTAAAGATAGTTTTTAATTAGTCCACATTAGTTTACATTCACGCCTTTATGTTGTATCGACAGGTATAAGAGCATCCTACTTTCTGTCTGTCACGCCTCCTCCTTTTAGACCTCCTCTTCTCTCTGGTCTTTTTGTATCTTTTCCTGGAGTGCCTGTGAGTCTTTTCTTCTTTCTCTTTAGGTTTTTCTTTATCCTTCTCTTTCTCCTTGTCTTCGTTCACCTCTGTGGCCTCTTTGTTTTCCTCTTCAATCCCAATCCCTTCATCATCTATTTCTCCATCTTCAAGTTCGCCATCCTCTCTAAAAAGGGGAGAACCGCACAGTGAGTATACCTGTAAGGGTTTTATGTGCACCGCTGTCAGCCTCAGACATCATTAAATGGTTTTCACATCATGAGCAAAACATCTGACAAGCAAATAATCCAAAATCACCTACTCTAATAATTTAATAAGAAATAAAAATGAAACTCTCATAATGTATTTTCCCTTCATTTGAAGTAAAGTAGCAAATATAATGCCAGATAGCTTCCAATACGCCCTGAGCCTTTCCTGTACTAAAAACATCCTGTCAATAATTCAAGGCTAGGTTTTGATTTCCTGTGAACCAGTGGCTAGTTACTTTATGAAAATCAAAATAAATTCCACTTCAGGTTGAGTAAAATCGATGAAAACCTGTGATTTCCAGAAGCAAAGTTATTCAGTTTCATTATGTAATGACAGCCTGGAGTCAAAGATTTATAATTTAAGCACACGTATGTCAAAAAGTCAAAAATCTGGACACTAGAACACAGTACATGTAATTTTTAAAGACGTCTATTACCGCTATAATCGGCCCGTAAGCATAATTTTGGGAGAATTTGGGGCTTTCTTCCTATTGTTTGCTGCAGCGCCCAACACATACACGTTTGTTATGTTTCATGTCACATTTCAGACAGGGATAGTACATTTAAAACTAACTGGTTATAACACTAAAGCGTGGCAGTTAAAAGCTTTTGTAACACTTGGCGCATATTTAAAATGATGCCCAGACCAGCTGTTAATCAATACATTCTGTATTATAGTAGATGACCAATACAGAGCGAATATTCCATATAGAAGTATCCTAAAATGTTTGTATGAAGAAAATTGTCCACGTGAGACCATTCCCTATCAAAGAATGACAACGGTATATATATCAGAGTTCTGTATGTCAGCTGCTTCAAAAATATAGTGCAGGTAGGAGCATGAAACAAAAACACCATGAAATGGGAAACAATGTCCACCCACTGATCCAGGTCTGTTTTCACACTCGCCACCTCTTCCTCTACAGTCAGCGCGGATCAGCCTTCAACCCTCCACATCCAAAGCTACTGTACCTTAACTCCACTTTCAGCCCGGTTAAAGCAGCACAGACCTCGAGATTCAAAATGAAATATTAAGTTAAATGTGTTGCATATGATTTGTAGAACTGGCAATAAAACTATCTTTTCCTATTTCCCATTCATTTGTTCATAATCATGTACCTATCTGATGATTGATAACAAATGTAGACAACCAGCATTACTGTTTGAATACTAAACAATGGTAACGGATAACTATTTAAGTTAAGAAAAAGGAATTTTCCAGTGATACCATAATTACAACACTTCAAGGTGCAATAAAACCACAATCTCATTTTTTTTCAACCTACTTTTTGACCAATTTAAGAGCTTAAAGCAGTCGTCTATCCGTGTAAGAGGCAAACAAATGCCCAGACTGACGCATGGAAGGTGTGAAATAAAGAGAGGCGCACCTTTACTATCTGAGACAACACCAGTTGGGGTTTTTGTGCCAACCAAAAACTACATCAACTACTTTTTCTTCTTGTGTTAAGACAGTAAAAAAAAACACCTGGTGAAAGCTTTGGTTTGACACCAGCTCAACTCTTGGCCCTCTTTGCTCACACGGTCTGACAGCTCCCCTGTCTGTCAAGGACTAGAGACCAATCACAAGGACACAGGCATGGCCTAAACCCAGCAGAAGCACATAACCTCAACCCTGCGTGAACCCTGTCTCAGCAGTACTGCCAGGTGCCCGCTAGGGGGGAGTACGGTGCGAGGATGGGCGTGGCATTTCCATCATAGTCATTTGCATAGTCTCCTGCAGATGGCAACAATGAAGCCATGAATCCATCCCAGCACCACAACAACACAAACGATGAGGTCTGCTATCTTGCATGGAAAATGATCATGAATGAGTCTTTATCGACGCGGTGATGGGAAATCTAGGCTATTTTGGACAGCGTTACTCAATTGCACCAAAAAGGCATGCAAATATATATATATATAT